TCTCCGGATCTTCAGCCCCTCAGATCTTCACCCAATGCAGGTCTGGCTCCACCTCTCTCCTCAAGGGAGACCCCCACCTTCGATTGCCATGCTGGTCAATCCAGGGTCACCCCACTTAGCCCCCCACCCACGCCCCGGGAGGGTTCCCAAGTCCTAGAGGGCTCCCTTGTGCCCCACATCCATGGATGGTTTGGAGTCGGACTCTCCTGGTGGTGTCAGGGCGACTTTTGTTCCTTTGGAGAGAGGGAAGAATAGAGACACCACAACACACAACAGGGACCCCATAGAGACACAAATCTCCTTCTCTTCACCCCCCCAGGCGGCAGTGGAGACAAAGCCATCTGCCCGCCTGGTAGACGGTGACCTGTATTCCTTCCTTCCTTCCTTCCTTCCTTCCTTCCTTCCTTCCTTCCTTCCTTCCTTTTCCTTCCTTCCTTCCTTCCTTTCCTTCCCCCCTTCCTTTTCCTTCCTTCCTTCCTTCCCTTCCCTTCCCCCCTTCCTTTTCCTTCCTTCCTTCCTTCCTTCCTTCCTTCCTTCCTTCCTCCCTTCGTCCCTTTTCCTTCTTTCCTTCCTTCCTTCCTTCCTTCCTTTTCCTTCTTTCCTTCCTTCTTTCCTTCCTTCCTTCCTTCCCACCAACCCTTTTCTTTCTTTTTTTGCCTTCCTTCCTTTTTCTTTTCCTTCTTTCCTCCGTTCCCTTTTCTCCGTTCCTTTCCTTTCCGCCAACCTGTTTCTTTCTTCCCCCTTCCTTCTTTCTTCCTTTCTTCCTTGCGTCTTTTCCTTCTTTCCTTCCTTCCTTCCCTCCCTCCTTTTTTTCCTTCCTTCTATTTCTTCTTTCCTCCCCTTCTTTTTTTCCTTGCTTCTCTCTTTCCCTCCCTCCCTCCCCCCTTTTTTCCCCCTTCCTTCCTTCCTTCCTCTCTCCAAGTTCTCTTCCTCCGAAGCCTGTGACAAAAGAGGGGGGCCCATTGGGGGGGGCTGTGGAGTCACAGAACTGGGAACGGGGATGAAGCCCCCCCCAACGCCCCTTCCCCGCTCCCTCTTGCCCCGGAACAGCTCCTTTCGGCTTATTTTTACTTTTGTGGCTGAGAAGAGAAGCGAATAGATGAAAAGCACTTTGGTGTTGTATTATGATTATTATTATTATTATTTTCTCCATGCCGACTCTGGAGGGTTTTTATATCCATGCAGGATTTCTTTGCCACTCGCCCTCCTGCCTACTGAGCTATTTTACTGTCTGTAATTAAACCAGAGATGTTAAAATAAAATAACTATTGAAAGATTGACCAGCTTGGAGTCCCCCTTGCTTTCTTCCTTCCAAAAGATTAAATCCTCTTGAACGTCGCTCAACCTTGGCTGCTTGAAGAGGGGTGGGCTTCAACTCCCAGGCTGGCTGGGGGATTCTGGGAGTTGAAGTCCACTCCTCTTCAAGCAGCCAAGGTTGAGAAATATTGGTTTGAGCCAGCTCCCTAAGCCAGAGAGAGTTTTGGCTTGACTTGATCAGCAAGTTGTGTATTCTAAGCCATGGTTTGCAACTTCACATGTAACCATGGTTTGCAACTTCACATGTAACCGTGGTTTGCAACTTCACATGTAGCCGTGGTTTGCAACTTCACATGTAACCGTGGTTTGCAACTTCACATGTTCTGAGTCCATCTCATTATACTTTATATACCAAGCCCTGGTTGAGCATGCTGTGGTTTGCATTCTATGTGACTCCAGTCTTAGACCATTGTTTATTTCTAAGCTACGTCCTATAACGGAATTTCTAGCCGGCATGCAAGTTCAACTACAGTTCCCAGAATTCTTCATGGAGCATGTCAAATCAGGCTCCCTGTTGATTGGTGGAAAGTTCTGGGCGGAGCATCGAGGCTGCCAATGGTGGGAATGGAAAGAGCTGGTGGAAACACTGCCACCTTCTGGTCAAAGCAAGGCACTTCCTTGCCACCTTGCCCAACCCCAAAATAAAAGCTCCTTTGATGTAGTTCAGCCTAGGTCCTCATTTACTGGCCGTAATTGAGACCAGGGACCAGGTCGTTAAGCAAATCCATTGGTAGGTGCAATGGGACTGCATTTGATGATCCGATTTCAGCCTTCCTTCACTTTACAGGCCCTGAAAGGTTCTAAGGATTGGTCACAAAAGTTACTTTTTTTCATCACTGTTGCGGCTGTGAGCAGTCACTAAACGAGGACTGGTTATTGTCCCCAATTATTCATACCTATTTCCTGTATTCGTACTTAGGTTTATTCCTTTGGGCGTTTTTTTTTTGTAAAAAGTTTTTTATTTTTTTACATTTCAAAAACGTCTCTTAGTGAACAGCACGGTCCCAAGTTTTCACATTTCCATACAAATATTGGTTATATATTCATCTTTCACATTTGATTTCATATATCATTTCATATTTTCTATAGATTTTCTCAAAAATTCTTATATTCTGCAAATTTATATGTTTTCTATACCTTTCTTATTTCTTTTTATTTTAAATAGTTCTCATATCTTCGTTTTCATTATACTTTAATCTGTCACATTTGCAATTTCATGGCATATTCTTATTTCATTATTCCAAAAGTTCCATAGTTAATAGTTCAAAAAGTTTCTGCTTTAATTACTAATTTGAGTGTGCCACCCCTTTATTTTATACACCATCTAGTTAACCCCTTTTTAATTCATATACTTTTGTTTATTCTCATATCTGTTATCTTGTAAGAGATTGACAAATCAAAATAAACAAAGGGGGTTGGGGGGGGGAACCAAAACCTGATACAGAATCCAAAACTTCGAGTGGATATAAGAGTACTAATTTGAATCAAAACGGGAGGGGGGGGAAACCAATTTTCTTTTGAAGTAAGAGAAAACTTATACAGGGAGACCTTAACTTACAACAGCTCATTTAGTGACTGTTCAAACTTAAGAAACGGCACTGAAAAAAAGTGACTTGCAACTGTTTTTCAGTTACAATCTTTGTCGTATCCCTAGGATAAAAAATTCAGCCACTTGGCAACTGACTCACACTTATGACCATGGCTGTTTTCCATGGGGGGGGGTTTTCACGTGATCCCCTTTTGCAACTTTCTTGACAAGTGAAGCCGCATTCGCTTAATCACCGGGCTACTAACTTACCGACTGGCAGCGATTCATTTAACGACCGGGTTCAAGAAAGGTCATGACATGGGGCAAAGCCCCCTTAACAAATGTCTCCCCTTAACAACAGGAAGTTTGGGCTCGATACAAGCGACAAAGTTACAGTCATACAGTCATAAGGGGGTGGGTGAGAGGGGGTGGGTGATAAGGAGTGAGGAGAAGATTAATAGTAATAGTAGTGCAGTCTTCATAAATAATTGGACAGTGTGGAGGGAATTATTTGTTGAGCAGAGTGATGGCTTTCGGGGGAAAAACTCCCCTTGTGTCTAGTTGTTCTGGTGTGCAGGGCTCTATAGCGTCGTTTTGAGGGTGGGAGCTGAAACAGTTTATATCCAGGATGTGAGGGGTCTGTAGATCTTTTCACAGCCCTTTTTTTTCACTCATGCAGTATTATACAGGTCCTCAACTGAAGGCAGGTTGGTAGTAATTGTTTTTTCTGCCGTCCTAATTACTCTCTAGAGTCTCTGTCTGTCTTGTTGGGTTGCCGAACCAAACCAGACAGTTATACTTTTTTAAAAAAATTACAAATAGTTCTGCTACACTTTGAAGTCTTTCTATCTAAAACTTTGGTTCATGTAGCTTTTTTTGGGGGGAGCGGGGCTGCTATCCTTAGACCTATATGGACTCTGATAGTCCAATATAAAGTGTTAGAAAGTGTTTTTCCATTTCTCACAAGAGGAAGGAAATCTTTGTACCACAACAAAAGGGGGAACGTGAAGAAACAGGCTCGGATCGGAGTGAAAACTAGATTAAACTTTGGAATGAAAAAAACCCAAAACCCCAAACACGGATTGGCTTGTCCAGACAGGAGAATGTTTTTGCTCTAGGCTGGTATCTTGTTTATTCCGGAGCTGCTGGGATGGCACGGTGTGTGTGTGTGTGTGTTTGTGCCATTGGCAAGTGCCAGGATCCTCGCTCCTTTCTCTGCCCAAAAAGTGGGCAGGGAAGGGGGGTCCCTCCAAGCCCCCAACGGGCTTGACTTCTGCTCCATTCGATTTTCCCCCCGCTCCCCCCGTTTCCTTTCAGGCGAGCGCAGACGGGAGTTTCCTTCTGGCCTTCTCCTCTTCCTCCTCCTCCTCCTCCTCCTAGTCCAGAAATCTCACCTGGCATCATTTGCCTCCGAGATGCATCTCTGGTAGAACTGGTTCCCCTGCCCGGATTTTTATTTTATTTTATTTTTTCCAACAGGGACATGCCAACCCTTTTTTTTTTCCCCTCCCCCCACCGCACCAATTTTCGCTTGGGAAAAAGAAAAATACCCCTCCCGTGCCACGGGGCACTTCTCCGTTCGGAGCAGAGAGAAGTTTTAAGGAGAACAAAGTTAACTTTTCACCCATCCTTTGCCCGCCTGTTTTTCTTCCCTAGCCAGAAAGTGGCTTGTTGGGATTTGCCCAGCCAGCTAAGAGTTAATTCCATCTGGGGGGGGGGGGGGGGGGGGGGGCTTCAGAAAAAGACCCTCCTCTTTGTTTTCGCAAGAGAGGGGGGTTTCTCCCCCCCCAGTAGCAAATCCCCATTGAATCCCACCTGCCTCCTTTACCCCCCACAACAAAGGGGGCTTTATGTGGGCTGCAGAAAAGAGGGGCTGAGCTAGCAAAGGCCAGGCGGCCTGGTGGGCCTTAAACAAACAGAGAAGAGAGCTGGCCCTGGGGTGGGAGGAGGAGGAGGGGGAGCTCGCCCCCCTTGGGATGATCTCTTTGCAAGATGACAAGGGACCCACTTTGCAGGGGGATCAGACATCTCCTCTGGCAGCTAGAATATCTAGGATTTCCTCTATTTATCTATCTATCTATCTATTTCTGATGTCCAAAGTTTGGAAAAAGAAAGGGAAAAAAAGAAAACCTGGAGTAGGACTAATTTTCAGAAGAACGGGCTCCAAATCTTTTGCACTTTGCTATTTTTGGGCCACAAAATAGACAGGTAGGTAGGTAGGATAGATAGATAGATAGGTAGATAGATAGATAAGTAGATAGGTAGATAAAAGTTTTAAAGTTGATGGACTGGGCTTGGAGAACACAGCTTAGATCGGGGCTCTCCGACTTTGGCCATTTTAAGGCTTGTGGACTTCAACTCCCAGAATTCCTCAGCCAGCATGACTGGGGAATTCTGGGACTTGAAGACCACCAGTTGTAAGTTGCCTTACAGGGCTCCCCAAACTTGGCCGCTGTAAGAATTCTGGGAGTTGAAGTCCACAAGTCTTAAAGTGGCCAAGTTTGGAGACCTCTAATCCAGGGGTCTCCAATCTTGGCCATTTTAAGCCTGGCAGACTTCAGCTCCCAGAATACCCCAGCTGGGAGGGATTCTGGGAGTTGAAGTCCACCTGGCTTAAAGTGGCCAAGGTTGGAGACCCCTGCTTAACCTACCTGGTGGAATTGCGGGGAGGGGTTTGCTAGTCTCCCTGGGGCTCCCAGCGTAGCCCATCCGTCACTCCGACCCATTTCTCCCTTAGTTACAGCAACGTTGACCTCTGCTGGGGTTCGTCGTACTTCGAGGACTCCCTGTACCTGAATCAGCCAGGTGTTTTTCCTTTCATGTTTTCATTCATCTACCTGGTACAGGTGAAGGGGGGGAGGGAGTCTGGTGTCCCTTACCTCCCCAAGGAGTGGAGGAGGGACTCCCAGCCCGGCCTTTGCCATCTCGGGATGCCCGCAGCCCCCGCTGCTCCCCCCCCCCGCCACCTCCAGCCCCGCCGGCAGGGGACGATGGGAGTTGTCGTCCCACCCCTTCTCCAGGAGCCTGCCAAGCAGGGAGAGGCGGCCGGCGGCCTCCGCACGTGCTCCCGGCCGGGGTGGGGCAGGCAAGGCTGGGGAGGGGAAGAGGAGGAGGAGGGAGGAGGAAGGGGGGGCACCGGCCCCGCCTCCCGCGGCTGGCAGCCTGGCAGAGCCCCAGCGCCCGTCCCGTCGAGCAGCCGCCTCCTCCGCTTTATGCCCCGCGATCGGGCGGCCCAGGAGGGCTGCCTCGCCGGCTCCGGCCAGGAGGAGGAAGAGGAGGAGGAGGAGGAAGGCTCGCCCGGCCGCCACCATGAGGCTGCGCCCGCGCGGGATCCTCCGCTGCGCCCCGGCGATGCTGCTGCTGCTGCTCCTGCTCCCTGCGCGACTCCAGGTGAGCGACCGACCCGTCCGGGCTGGGGGAGACTAGGCAGGAGTCAGCAGGCCCATGCGCGACTCCCGGCCCCATGGTCCACTCCACTGCCGCCGGCGCAAAAGGGCGCACCCCGAATGCGCTGCGCCTCTGCAGCCGGGAGACCCAGCGAGGCGCAGCTGGACGCTTTGGAGACCCGGAGAGTTTTCCCCAGCTGGGCAGCCCACGCCGTCTCTCGCCCTTTTTCCACGCCAGGGTCGCTACTCCTCGTTTACTCCCCCTCCGCAAAGGAAAGCTGAGGGAGAATTTCCCTCCGACCCCCCCCCCCGACCCCCGCGTAACTTCTCAGAAGTCCTGGGAGGAGCGGAACGACCCGCTTGGAACCCCGGTTTGTTTGGGGGGGCTCGGCTAAAAGAGGGTTGAATCGTTTGCGAGGTGCCAGTCCGGAGTTCGGCTACTTTGGACCACGCCAGAAAGTCCTGGCAAGGCTACAAGACGTGGAGGAGGAGGAGGGGGGGGGCTTAATTCGGGATTCGCAAGATTCCTTTTCCTCCTCGCCCTGGACACGTAATAGATCCAAAGTAGACTGGGTTGTTTCTCTGTGTTTCTCATACAATCTACGTGGGAATATGCATAATTTTATATTTATTCTGTCATGTTCATGTAGTGTATATTGGAGGTAGTGACCCTTTGAGACCTTATGCAATGAAATTTCATTTTAATGTATGCCGATTAGTGTACTTTCAAAGAGACAATAAAGTTATCATCCATCCATCCATCCATCCAGATTCGCATCCAAATAGAAATAGAAATAACAGGCAGAATAAAAATAGAATCTAGTAATAAATTTCTCCATTTGTATCTATCTATCTATCTATCTATCTATCTATCTATCTATCTATCTATCTCTATTTGTGTATTGTGCGAATGCAGCCGCTGAGTAGCTCCCGGTTTCCACAACGGGCAGCCTCGAAATTCTCCGAGTTTGCTTGCTCTGCCTCCGGAAATATTTGATTTTTATTTGATTTATTAAACTCTGGCTGTTCTTTCAGTCCGAAGCCATGGCTGCTCCCCCAAACTCTTGCGTTATGCACCCCCCCCCACCCCAGATCAACCCTAAAATTTTTAGGGGATCCTCTCTGGGGGAGATCATGATTACAGAACACCTGGTGCAGGTGTGGGTGGGCATTGCAGCCCCCCCTGCCTTGCAGCTGTGCAGGGTGTGTGTGTGTGTTTTCCCAGGGGTCCTCACCGTAAACCTCCTAAAAGGGGGCCCCTATAGACCCATTTTCCTCCCCACCTCTTCCCCCCCCCACAAAAAAGGCAGGAGTTTTACAGCTGTACTGAAACTCAGTGACCTCCCGTCTTTCTCCCTGGGGGGGACGGGAAGGTGTGGCCCACACTTAGTTTCTCAGTCCAAGCAAGCACACGGCGGGGGGGAGGGGGTGGCCCTTTGGCAGCTGATGGGCCCCACCCCAGGAACAGCTGTCTTTCCAGATGCAGGGGGGGAGGGAAGAGCCACCCCCCCTTCTGGAGATAAGGATGCCCGGGACCCTGATATTCAAACTCTGTGGAAGCTTCAAAGGTTGGGTTTAAAGTAGGGGAATCTAACCTGGGTCCCTTTAAGACCTTGTGGATTTCAACTCCCAGAATTCCCCAGGCGGCGATTTCTTTGTGTGTGTGTTTTTCTTCCTTTTATCCTTAATTCCTTTCTGTCTCTCTTCCTCTCTTTCCTCCCCTTTCTTTCTGTTTCCCATTTTCTTTGTTTCTCCTTCTTCTCCTTCCCTTCTCTTCCCTTCCTCCCTCTCTTCTCCTTCCTCCCTCCATTCCTCCTTTTTCTTCTTTCTTTTCTTTCTGTCTGCCTGTTTTCCTGTCTTTTCCTTCCTTCCTTCCTTCCTTCCTTCCTTCCTTCCTTCCTTCCTTCCTTCCTTCCTTCCTTCCTTCCTTCCTTCCTTCCTCCCTCCCTCCCTCCCTCCCTCCCTCCCTATTCCCATCTCCTTCCTTCATCTTTTCCTTCTTTTTGGCTTTTTATTGTGTTTATTTTGAAGTATTTTTTTTTCTTACACGTGGTTCTGAATCACTCTGGAATAGATCAGCATAAAAATCTTAGTAATCAATCAATTAATCAATCAAACTCTTTCTCTAAGTAAAAATGGATGTACAAATGTATGTATGCATCACTCTGGAACGCCTCAAGCAATTTCAACCTAACTTGGTACACAGATGACCAAAAAACAAATACTGTGGGAGTAAGACGCCCCTAAACCCCTTGGGGGGGGTGTCCCTTAAAACGGCTTCTACTGTACAGCACAATGGAGTTGCCATGGTAACAGCTTCACAGGGTAATGGCTTCTCAGTACCCCACAAAGGGGCTCCCTCTGGTAAGGGGCCCTCAGCCCTCCAAGGAAACATCAGGCGATTGGCCAAGTGCAATCAAACGCTACAAAAATGAAACACCCGCGCAGACAAGAAACTCCCGAGAAGAGGAATAGACCAGGGGTTGCCAACCTTTTGGACCTCAGGGACCACCAAACTCATAATTTTAAATCCCAGGGACCACGAACCGGTCCTGTGGGCATGGCCTAATTTGTGGGTGTGGCTTAGTGGTCATGTGACTGGCTGGGCATGGCTTGTATGTAAATATTATAAATATTTATATAAATATTGAAATTTTTATATAAAAAAGAGCAACTTTTACCCCAAATCAGGCAAAGCAGGCAGGCAGATTAAGTTGCTCACAGAATCACAGATTCATTCAGAGATCTATCTATCTGCCATCGGCTAGCTCAGTCTGTCACATAAAATTAGTTTGCAAGCGAACTCATAAAATTAACTCACAACACACCATGTATGTAAATGTTGAATTTTTTATGAAAAAAAGAGCAACTTTACCCAAAATCAGGCAAAGCAGGGAGGCAGATTGAGTTGCTCACAGAATCACAGATTCACTGAGAGATCTGTGTTTCTGCCATCGGCTACCTGAGTCTGTACTGAATAATAGAAGCTTCAGGTTCAGCTCTGCTTTTAGATTAGCTAGAAGGCAAGAAATTCAACAATTTCCTGTTTTCTAGCTAATCTAAATCTCCCGCACAGCAGAACACCTGATGGTCGGAAAAAGGAAAAATAGCAATTTAGCAGGCAAGTTTGCCAGGTAAGGAGTGAGTGGGCAGGGAGGGTTCCCGCGGGCCATGTCGGCAGCGCAGCCTTGTGTTTTTGCGCAGCCTGGATTAATTGCTTTGTGGGGGTGCTCTGGGGCTGAAATTCCTCTGCGGCCCACCAAAGTTTTCTCACGGCCCACCAGTGGGCCCACTGGTTGTCGACCTCTGGAATAGAAGACTTGCAATGCTGCGCCAAGGAGTTACTACATCTAGAGCTTCAGAGACAGTACAACAGCGTGAGTCCCGACTACAGTATTTCCCTGTCTAATACAGGATGATTGGGATAAATAAATACCCGGCTGGGCCACGCCAGGTTATCAGCTAGTCATTTAATAAACTCTGGGCAAAAAGCCACTGGGAAACTTCAACTGACATTATTCTAATTTGTCTGCCTAATTGCTTTATTGCTTTTAACCTTCTAATTGTTTTTCCCCTCTTATTGACGATGTCGTAAGAAACCTAATCATGAGACAGGCGGCCTATAAATTGAATGAATAAATACCTTTTAATAAGTAAGTTTTAACGAATAAATTTGAATGCATTCATTCAATACATTTTATGCATACGATACATTCAATAAATTTTCATAAGTAAATTGTAAATAAGTAAATTGAATCAATGCATCGAATAAATAAATACATTTTGATAATCAATTCGATAAATCGATGAACTGAATAAATACATTTTGATAAATTAATGAATTCAATAAATCAATGAATAAATGTAATAAATAAACCTATTGAATAAATAAAACACCTTCCCAAGGGTGGGGATGAGCCCCTTTCCTACAAAGAAAGGGGCACCCCCTGATTGTAGCCACACCGGAACAGAGTTTGACGGGGGCGGGGAGGGCACCAGGTTGGAGATGGAGATTCTCCTCCGGTCCTCCTTCATCTCTCGCGCCGCTCACCAGCTCAGCACCCGCTCTGTTCTCCCCCCCTTCAGGTCTCGGGGGCCAAAGGCGTGGTTGAGCTGCAGGTCTCCTTGGCACGGAACGAGAAGGGCGTCCTGGCGGATGGACGGTGCTGCCGTGGAGGGCAGGAGCCACCATGCCCTGTGGCCGAGCCGTGCCACACCTTCTTCAGGGTCTGCCTCAAGGAATACCAGCTGCGGGCACAGCCGGGGGGGCCTTGCGTGCTGGGGGCCGCCAGCACTCCTGTTTTGGGGGGCAACGTCTTCTCGGCTCCCCTCCAGAAGCTCTCGGACCAGGACGGGACAATCATCATCCCTTTTGACTTTGCCTGGCCGGTAAGTGGCTTGTTTTTATCCTTGTTTGAGGGGTAGCAGAAGCGTCAAATATAAGATTGATCACAACTCTAGGTCTGGCCCAGAGGTGGGATTCAATTCAGTTCTAAAACAATTTTATTTGGGTTTTCACACACAAAAAAGAAAAATAAAGCATCTTTTTTAGTGAACAGCATGGTTCCAGGTTTTCACATCTCACACTGATATCATCTCAGTGACATATTCATCTTTCATATTCAATTTCATATCACTACTTTATATATTCTTTATTATTTTCCCCCTCAAATACTTTCCTCAGGCTTATTTTATAGCTTTCTCATTCATTTCTAAATCTATTACATATCCTTTTCAAAATGTTCATAATAATTATACTCTGGTTTTCCCTCCACCCCTCTGGGTGTATCGCAATTCATATCCTCCAATGGGACACCTCCATAGCCCAGAGTCATCAGTCGGGCTCTCCAGTTAAAATTTTTAATTACTATCTTTGAAAAACTATTTATGGAATGCACTTTCGATTTACAAGCTGCCGCACTGCTCCCCCTTCCCTTTCTGTTGGCAACTCTAAAAAGACCAAGAGAAATATTTTATGAGTTGACATTAAGTTTGAACGATCATTAAATGAATGGTTGCAAGTCGAGAACCAGCTTTAGCAGGTTGCGTGAATGCAGCTATGAGGAACCTGTTGGACAGCATCCAGTTTTGGAACCACTTTGTGAATTTTTCCAGCTGGATCTACAACTGGGGAAGTGGGGGGGGGTGTCCCCTCTGGAACAGCGGAATAGGCAGATAGGCAGCAGGCCGGCAAACCCCAGACCAAGTGTGAGATCCCGGATCCTTCTCCTGACCAGGCAGATTCCTCCCCCAGGATCTCCAGAGATCTGTCCCTGCAGTCTGATCTTTCTCCCAAAGAACCGGGAGAGATCCGAAGGACGGAAGCCATGCCGCTGCATTCATGCCAATTGGCAAGGTTCGGGGGTTTCACAGCATCCCTTGTTACGTCTCAGAGCTCTGTGGACTCTGGAAGAAGACATACTATCCCCTTTCGGGCTGCTTGTCGTCAAACACCTGAATTTTGATCTCCTGAGCATGGAGATACTGCTGCAGAGTCTGTCAGGGCGTGGACCGGTTGCTTTTAAGTCACTTTTCCCAGCGCCGTTGTCACTTTGGCCGCTGAACGAATGACTTCAGGTCGAGGCACCTACCTGTTTCAAGAGGCATCTCTGCGAAACCTGGAAGAAGGGCTGGCTCACTTAACAACCGGCTTGCTTGGCAGTGAAAATTCTGGTTCCAGTTGTGGTCATACATCGAAAATGACCCGTAAAGCTGCATCCCAAGAAAGCCCCAAATTACCCAGGTTGAGAAATGCTGAACTGGAACTTGCAGATTGGAAAAAGCAACAGAGAAGATCTGTAAAGATTCTCCGTCTGCCAAATCATGGCTGTCCTGAAAGTGCTATTTTTGGGAGGGTAGGCAGTTGGACTTCCTTGTTTTTGTTTTTGTTTTCCTTTGAAGATGTTTCACTTCTCATCCAAAGAAGCTTCTTCGGCTCTGACTGGATGGTGGGGAACGGAAGGGTTGATACTCCTTGCAGACAGCTGGTCATTTGCATCCTTTGAGAGGGTCATTGAGGCCACTTGCGGGGGGAAGCACCTTCGGGACAACCATGACCTGGATGACTAAGAATCTCTGCGGACTTTTAGCTCTGCAATTTGGGATGAAGACCGTTTGAATGGCGTGGGAGTAGGAACGGATTTCCAGAGGGAAAATGGAGGACACAGACAAACCTCCAAGTGGCCTCAATGACCCTCTCAAAAGGGTGCAAAGGACCAGCTGTCTGCAAGCCAGGCGTATAAATCCTCCCGTTTCCCTGTTCCCCTGGGTCAGTAAAACCCAGATTGGACCCAGACGGTTGGGGGCCGGTAGGAAAACCGCTTAGAAAGGGATGGAAAGTCCTGTGAAGTGGCATATAAGTCGAAGGGCTACTGCTATTCCAGCTCTTTTCTGATGGAGTTTCTGCCCATCGGAGGCTGTCAGTAGGAGAAGAAAAAGCGTCTTATTTTTTTAAAGAAAAGAAAAGAATCTGTTGTTTTTTTAAAAAAACAACTTATCTATGTTGATCCCACTAATTCCCACCTGAAGGATCACTGGGTGGGATGGGGAGAGGTGTTTGGTTTGTTACAAACCGGAGCTGGTTCTGTTCTGGGAGGCTGCCTTGAAAAACCGAGCGAGCGGCGGCTACTTGGTTTCTGGCCGCAGGTCCTGGGAAAGGTCATTGAGCCTGGATGACCTCTGACCTTTGGGGCTGTTCTGAAATGCCTTCCCCTCTCCCCAAGGGATTGTCTGCCGAGGGAAGCGGCTGTTCGGACGAGACCCTCAAGATCCTGCTTTGAGTGAATGTCCCTCCCTCTCTCTTTCTTTCTCTCTCTGTGTCTCTCTCTGTTTCTCTCTCTCTCTCTCTCTGTCTTTCCCTATCTCTCCCTCCCTCCCTCCTTCCCCCCTCTCTGTCTGTCTGTCTCTGTCTCTGTCTCTGTCTCTCTCTCTCTCTCTCTCTCTCTCTCTCTCACACACACACACACACACACACACACACACAGGTCGATGCTGCTTGGATCCAGACATCAGTGGGATTTCCGCAGTGGTGAGATTCTACCAATTTCCCAACTGGTTCAGTGATTGCACACTTTGCGCGTGCATTGTGCACCTAGCACGCGTGTGCACGCAGCTTTCCAAAGCCCAGCTGAGGCTCTGCCGTGCCAATCGGCGGAGGGGATAAAGAACAGGAAAGCACAGAAGTGGGTGGGAGGGCTGATCCTGCACTTTTCTCTTTTCTCCTCTCAGCTGATTGTTGGAGCTTTTTTTTTTACTACCGGTTCAGGGGAACCGGTCTGAACCGGTAGCATTTCACCACTGGATGTCTGGCGTATCAATGTAATCAATAAATTTAATCAATGAAGAAAAGTTATCTGGAGAGAAGCCAGCGACAGGTTAACATCTCAAACTGCCTTCTGAACTGCATCTTTGATGTCCCCATAATTGCCCTGACGAAGCACAGCGCTGGGGCATTGTGGGAAATTCCTTGCTCAACCAATAGGAAAACAGAGCAGCCCCGCCACATGCTAAGAAAACTTTGGTTGGCTCGGTGGGTTGAGCCAATGCCACCAATGTGGTTAGCTTGTGGTTTGGGGGAATTGCACAAAACCTGGGTAACTGGAGGAGTGGGTGGGAAACGGAGCAAACTGGTTTAGTCAGAGCAGCGGACAAGCAGAGATTCAGGGTTTGGAGAGTTTAAAAGGAGCCCCCAGAGCTGCAGGTTCTTTGAAATGAATCACTGGTCTTCCTGGAAAAGAGACGAAGTGGCCTCCCCTTTCGAGGCTTCAGGTGCAGCCTATTTTTCTTACTTTCGGTAGCCTCCAATGTTGATGCTCAGTATTCCCCATCCTTATCCAGTTTAGCCTTTAGCAGGCATGGGTTTTGTAGTTGTAGACCTCTAACGATGCCATGGAGGCTGTACTTATATCGCTAACCCTCCCTTCGGCTGTGGATGAAGGCCTCTGGCAGTGTTTGTCAACGTTGGTAACTTTACCAAGTTTAGTAACTTGGTAAACTTTACCAAGTTTATCAAGGAAGACCTGTGGACTCCCAACTCCCAGAATTCCTGGCTGGCTGGGGAATTCTGGGAATTAAAGTCCACCCAACTCAAAGTTGCCAAGGTTCTGGGGTGCTTTGAGGAACCTACCTGAGTAGCCAATTAATCCGCCTTTAGTTGGTGCTCCAGATGGGATTAAACCCAAGGTGTTTCTCACTATCTTTGCTTTCTTTGCCACAATCATCTCACTTTTTTTTTGCATTATTATTATTAAATTAATTAATTTTTTTGCATCCAGTTCAGCCGGGTGGAAGTCCGGCTTTGATATGGTAGCAAGGATTTCGTTCTCGTTCAGTCGGTTTGCGCAGAACGGAGCACAGAAGTGGGAGAGTTGCTGGGGGGTGGGGGTGGGGGTGGGGCCACGTAGGCCACGTAGGTTCCCAGATGTTCAGGCCAGGGACGTGTTGATGAACTTCTGCCTTGTCCCTTCTAGCGCTCGTACTCGCTGGTTCTGGAGGCCTGGGATGCTGTCAATGCCAGTGATGTCACCAGCCCAGGTAAGGGATCCCTTTTCTCCCCCGTGCTGGATACAGATGGTGGGTGCAAGGTAGGAAGGGGTGGGATGTTCGGACACATCTGGAATTTTGCGTTCCACTTCTGGAACTGGTATGTACCTCTCCTTTGGGAACCGAGATCGAGGCGAAAGAGCAGGTGGCCAGTCGGTGTGCCTTTTTCTTTCTTTTTTTTCGTTGCGAAGTGGCTCAACTAGTTGTTACTGCCTAGGAAAGATTGGAAGGAAATAATGTTGTAGCTCTGGGCTTTTTACTTCTGCTTTCAGCTACATTCCTGATCACTCAACCCTGAACTAGTCACTAGCCTCTGGCCTGTGAAAACTGGAACTTCCATGGAGAGAGGCACTCTTCCTTAAAGTAGCTCTTGCCTGGAATAAGCAGGAAGAGAGGCCTCATTTATGGATTTCCAGGGGCGAGGGCAGCGGCACCTACAGGGGGGTACGGAGGAGCGGGTAAATGAGTTTAAACTTTCATCCCTGTTGCAGTGGCAGGCGGTGCGCCAGCCTCTTTGTGGACTAGTAACTTGTGCTCCTTTCCAGCTCTGACCCGGGCACTCAAGGATGAACCAAATGCTTGCGAGTATCGATAATGTAGAGTTTATTGTAGTAGAGTTTATTGTGATATAAAATACAGGTGAAAAGGAAAACGGGAAAAAAGGAAGGGACGCAGTGTGAAAAGAAACAGAGTAAAAAAAAAAACGCAGTGATTTTTCTTTTTACTTTATTCAGGGCAGTAAAACGCAAAACAATAGATCCAACCTCAGCTGTTCGCTTTGCACTTCCAGGAAATAGAAGCCATTTCTATAATAACCAAGTTAATCTAGTCCTCCAAAACCTAAAATCAAAACTTAATTTCGTTTTCTGTTTCGAGCGTAAAGTCCAGAAGCGATTTCCAAATGCAAATAAAACTAGATAAGGCCTTCTCTTTAATTAAAAAATTAACTCTGCGCTTTCCGCACAACAACCATCCCTTTTCCCAGCCATTCTTCCATTTTGGGAATGGACGGCTCCGTCTGTTTACCCACGTAATAAAATTCTTGCATCTGTCAACATCGATGATAAAACAAGTTCTAAGTTTCGGACTGTTGAGGAACTTTTTGAATTGCATTGAATATGTCAGTTTTGTACCGGTGAGGTCCTTGGTGCTCCTGGAGCCGGGAGGTTTTCTTGCAGATATTTCATGACTCAACTCGGTAATAATCAGTGCTAGAAGGGAGTGGGTTTGTGGAGAGGAAGAGGAGGAGAAGGAGAAGAAGGAGAAAGAGAAGGACTGTGGCGTCCTTGGTGCTCTCTGAGCTTGTTGGTTTTCTTGTAGATGTTTCATGACCAAACTAGGGCTAGAACTGAAGGAGGTTTGCAAAGGAAGGAAGGAGGAGGAGGACGAGGAGGACGAGGAGGACGAGGACGAGGACTGTGGGGTTCTTGGTGCTCCCTGAGCTGGGTTGTTTTCTTGCAGATGTTTCATGACCAAACTAGGGAATATCATGAGTGCTAGAAGGGAGTGGGATTTGTGAGAAGAGGAGGAGGGTGAGGAGGAGGAGGAGGAGGAGGAGGAGATGATGACAACGACTGTGGGGCCCTTGATGGTGTCTGAGCTTGGTGGTTTTCTTGCAGACATTTCATTACCCAGCTGAGGTGTTGTGGTCTTTTTTGCTTCCTTTTTCATTGTCTCTTTTGAAGGGCGTGTAAATGTTGTACGTCTCTGTGTGCCTGTTGATGGCTGATTTGTCTGAATGCCGACCTTCCAGAAATGTTCCAGTGTTCTTGAACTTAATTGGTCCAGGTTGCTCACAGTTTCCCAGTTGAAACTATGGTGATGTTTTTGTCCGCGTGTTGTCCAGTCAAGGGGTTTTCATCCTGACCGCTAGTTGGTGTTCACGGATGTGCTCTGCAAATCTTCTGTCTCGTAGCGACTGTTGCAGTCCTCACTCTTGTATGTTGCGGACGCCTCCCGCTTTTTCTCCTGGGGCCGCTGGGTCTTTGGGTTTTGTGTGCCTCCCACCAGATGTGGGCTGGTGATGGAGAACAGGACCCTCCACCTTCGTCTTCCTCCCCTTCTTTGGCAGGCTCAGGGCAGCTGATCGAGCGGTTGATCCGTTCGGGCATGGTGAACCCAGGCGAAGGCTGGCAGCATTTAGGGCATCACGGGCGCAGCGCCCTGCTGGAATGCCGGCTGCGAGTGCGCTGCCATGAGCACTACTACGGGCCCTCGTGCAACCTGCTCTGCAGGCCCCGTGACGACTTCTTCGGGCACCACAGCTGCGACGCGGCCGGGAACAAGGTCTGTCTCGACGGCTGGACAGGGAACAAGTGCCAACGGGGTATGTCTGGGGCTGGCGGGCTGGCACGGGGCAGGGCAGGGCGAGGAAAAAGGGTCTAGAAAAAGGCAAGCTATCCCATTGCCCTGCAGCTCCTCCTACACTGTGGTTGTACTCAGGGGTGGGATTCTACCAGTTCACACTGATTCGCTAGAACCGGTTGTTAACAGTCTAAGCAGTTTGGAGAACTGGTTGTTAGAAGAATTTACTGGCCTAATCCTGTAAGGAAGGCAGGAAGGAAACATTCTGGTGTTGCTTACAGAAACTGCCTCTCCGTTAACCCTTATTACATTCTTGGCAGGATTAGACTTCCTGTCTTAGGAACTTCTCTGGAGTTTTTTTTCCCTCCTTTGCTGGTCCTTTGCTTGTGTGGAGTGACCATTCAAAGTTACAATGGCACTGAAAAAAGTGACTTATGACCCTTTTTCACACTTACGACTGTTGCAGCATCCCCACAGTCACGAGAGGCCAGGCGAGGAGAGGCATGCCTCGATGTGAGTGATATTGAATTGGCCACGCCCAGCCAATAACATGACCACCAAGCCATGCCCACCACCTAACCCACGCCCACAGAACTGGTTGTTAAAAATTTGAATCCCACCCCTGGTTGTACTGGCCCAATTCCCCCCTCCCAGAAAGTGTTTTGGGTGTGTGTGTGTGTGTGTGTGTGTGTCACAAAAACCAAGATGGACGCAAGCAAAAAGAAGCCAAATGGTGGACATTTTTCTGGGGCGGGAAGCAGACAAACAGATCAAAATGATGGACGTAACTGCATCCCCAAACCCCACCTGGGCTTCTATATGTCACCTGTGCATTTAAAAGGGGTTGGACTTCATCACATGTTCCCAGCTGCCATCTTGATTTTTTTTTTGACACCTGTCTGTAGGATGTCTCTATGTTTTGCTCTTCTGGAGATGCCGGAATCTGATATTCCACCTCAAAAACAGAAAGGAGCACCTGAGGCTCAGCCGTCCTTCCTTAACCTTTATCTTACCTGTAGCCAGGTAGACCAACCCCTCTCCCTTCTCCGCGCACCTAGTGATGCAAAATCAATTGTTCAATGGGGTCTCCAGATTGGGCGGCCCCCTCTCTGCATCCTTTCTGTCCTTCCCACGAACACCAAAACAAGGACATTCCTCCCTGGTGCAAATCCGTCGGCCAAATCCCCTCCCCTTAGCTCCCTCCTTGCCAGCCCTTTGAGGTAGGCCAGCACCCTAACCGCGGTATCCGAAGGATCATTCTGATGCGCCCCCAAAGAAAGGGGGCAGCCATGTCCTTGAAGCAGCTTTCAAGACCCAGTCCGGAGCCTCACCTGATGGCGCAACCTTCTCCTTGTGGTCTCTTGCAGCTGTTTGTCGCCAGGGGTGCCACAAAACGCACGGGTTTTGCGAGGAACCTGGCGAGTGCAGGTGAGGAGTTAGCAGGTGGGAGGGGATTCTGGGTCAGGGTGGGGCTGTTGGGAGTTTCGGGAGAGCCACTAGCTAAGATTCTGTGCAGTTTGGAGGACCCCAAATCCTACTCCTGGCTGGCCCGCCCACCCTGCCCCGCCCCTCCCAGGAGTCCCCACCTTTTGGATGCAGGTAAGTGCAGGGCATGGACAGAGGGCCAAGCCCATACTTACCCTCAACTGCAGCCTCTGTGAAGGAAACAGCTGAGTCGTGCCCCTGTCGGAATCTGATTCGGAGGAGGAGGAAGCAGGGAGCGGGAGTGTTGCTCCGTTGGCTGTGGAAGAAACTAGGGAAGGGCAAAGTCCAGCTGGGCGGATCAAGGAAGAGGTAGAACAAGGGAGAAGGAGTTCAGAGGAAGAGCCAGGCCCACCCCCTCTTCATCCTAGGGCACACAGGAAGGAACAGAGAAGGGAGCAACATGAGTTGCATGGCTTACGGGGGAGGAAAGGGCCCTGATTCCCTTCATTAGCTGCAGCTGGGAACACGGTCTTTAAAAAGGGAAGTTGCACGCAGCAAGCTGTTGGGAGCAAATTGTGAATCCCAACCCTGATCAAGGGTCCCCAACCTTGGCAACTTGAAGACTTTCAACTCCCAGTATTCTCCACCTGGAGAGAGGTTGTTCTGAGGACCGGAGGAGGGGGTGTGTGGTTTTACGTGCGGCCTGCACCCCACGGGATGGGGCTTCGCTGGTTTGCACAGGCTGGTTTCAGGTATGCTGCCCCCCCCTCCCCCGGTGCCAGTCCATGGACCAGGAGTTGGGGACCCTGTCCTACAGGATCAGATGGGGGCAGGCCTGACCTAGCTGCTCCCCCTCCTCATTTTCTAGGCCATTTGCTGTGCAGTAACCACCCCTCCCTTCTCAGGTGCCATTACGGCTGGACGGGCCCCCATTGTGACCAATGCCTCCTCTTCCCCGGTTGCGTCCACGGGAGCTGCACCGTGCCCTGGAAGTGCGACTGCGAGACCAACTGGGGTGGCCTTCTGTGCGACAAGGGTGAGTTCCCCACCCCCTCTGGGCTTGCTCAGGGGGTCCTTGCGTTGAGATGGGAAGAAAGGGAGCAGCGAAGACCCTCCACCAAGAGCCAAAAATTCTTGGCAAGTCCTTCTATAGCAGGGAGGTCATCCATCTTGGCCCCTTTAAGACTTGTGGACTTCAACTCCCAGCATAGCTGGCTGGAGAATTCTGGGAGTTGAAATCCACAAGTCTTAAAGGGGCCACGTTTGGGGACCCCTGTCATAGAATGACAGAATTGGAAGGGACCTTGGAGATCATCTAGTCCAGCCCCCCCCCCCGCTCGAAGCAGGAGAGCCATTAACAGAAGAACACAGATAATCTTTGGCTTACGAGCACCAAGAGAGGGGACAGGCATTTCTGTCGCTAAACGAGGTGGTTAGTAAGCAAGTTCCACCCCTTTCTTGCCGCAGGGGGCGTGAAACGAATCACTACTGTGGTTCAAGAGAATCATGCAGTCATTAAGCGAGTCTGGCCTCCCGCATTGACTTTCCTTGTGGGACGTCAGTTGGGAAGGTCGTAAGTGGGGATCGTGTGACGCAAAGGCAACCTCAGCTAGCTGTCAGGGCTCCGGCAGTGACCCCCATTTAAATCCCGAGTCTCGAGCCAAACTTCCAAACCTTCCAAAGGATTTATTGGGAGTTAACATGTCCGGCACTGCCTGGGTGCAGCCAACTCTCTGATTCACTGTCACCTTTGACCCTGGTTTCCCCCACCCCCACCCTCTGTGTGTGTGTTGTAAATCATATCCTCCAATGGGACACCTCCATAGCCCAGAGTCATCAATCATGCTCTCCAGTTAGAATTTTGCACCGCAGAAACTTCAGTCACCTGGTTACTATCTCTGAAAAACTATGTATGGAATGCACTTTCGGTTTGCAAGCTGCCACACTGCTCCCCCCTCCCTTTCTGTTGGCACCTCTAAAAAGACCAGACAAATATTTGATGAGTTGACACCGTCGTAAGTACATGCCAGTGGCCGAATTTTGAACGTGTGACCCTGGGAAGCTGCAGTGGTGGTTGTTAGTGCGAGGATCGACTATAAGTCACTTTTTTTTCACTTTTTTGTGACGTCAACTAGCCACTAAATGGAAGGTTGATAAGTTGAGGATTCCCCTCAAGACACCTACCAGGGTCTATTGAAGCTAATACAAGGTAGTCCTCGACTTACAACAATTCCTTTCGTGATGGTTTTAAGTTACAATGGCACTGAAAAAAAAGTGACTTACCACCGTTTTTCACACTTACGACCGTTGCAACATTCGCCGTGGTCACCTGATCAAAAATTCAGATGCTCGGCCGCTGCTTCATACTTACGACCGTTGCTGTGTCTTGACCAGCAAGGCCACCGGGGAAGCCGGATTCATTTAACAACCATGTCACTAACTGAGCAACTGCAGGGATTCCCTGCCGTTGTAAAACAGGGAAAAAGAAACATCTTGCTGAACAGCATAAATTCTGGGCCTCCCTTGTGGTCGTAAGCCGAGGACATCCTGTAATCGCTTCCCAATGAATCATATTGGGAATTTTATTTTATTTTATTTTTTCAAAAAAGAGGAAATAAGGGAAGTTGGGAGAATTTTGACCAGAAGATCTTTGGGGGTCCATTTTTCCCCCCCGCCAACTTCAGAGAAGGTTATGCCAACAACAACCGTAGTGGCAACTCAGCCAGAAGCCGGCGGGGAGATTGGTAACCCCGAGAGGCGCCTATTCCGGATGCCTGGTTCAGATGGAACGGGGTGTCAACTCATAAAATAATTCCATGGTCTTTTTAGAGTTGCCAACAGAAAGGGAGGGGGGGAGCAGTGTGGCAGTTTGCAAATCGAAACTGCATTCCGTAAAGGTTTTCAAAATCACTAGGCGACTGAAGTTTCTGCCGTGCAATATTCTAACTGGAGAGCCTGATGGATGGCTCTGAGCTATGGAGGTGTCCCATTGGAGGATAGGAATTATGATACACTCAGGGGATGGAGGGAAAACCAGGCTCAAGGGTGACCATGAATGATGCGTCTCAGAGTCGGCTACACCCAGGCAGCGCCGGCATGTTTACTCCTAATAAATTTTCTTTTCAGCTTTGAAAATCCGGCTCGAGACTCAGGATTTAAATGGGGGTCACTGCCGGAACCTTGGACCAGATCCCCAAAAACCCCTTTCCTCTTTTTGTCCTTCTCGCTCAGATCTGAATTATTGTGGATCACACCGCCCGTGCCAGAACGGGGGCACCTGTGCCAACAAGGAACCAGATGAATATGAGTGCCTCTGCCCGGAAGGATTTGGCGGGCGCAACTGCGAGGATGGTGAGCAGGGACGGCCAGCCGGGGATGAGAAAAGAGGGAGGAGCTGAGGGGGGAAGGGGAGGGGCTTTCCAGACCCCGCCCCCCTTGGCACTCTGCAGAGACGGGGGACAGAGGGGCGGGACCAGTGATGGGCATTCTTGGGATGATGTATTGTTTTGGGAGTTGTCTGCATTACGTATTAGAGAAGATTGTCTTGTGAGCCGGACTGTGACTAACTCAGACACTGTCTGGACCTCTATCCCTTGTGATTCACTCATTTGCACAACTGTTTCCTTGACTGACTCTTTTTCTTTTAATTTTTTTTATTTTAATTTGATTTGTCAATTGCTTACAAGATAATAGGTATTAAGTATATACATAGTTATGAATACATGAAATGGGTACCTATAAGAAAAATAAAAGAAACAATTGGACAGGGATGTAGGCACGTGGGTGCACTTATGCACGCCCCACACAGACCTCTTAGGAAAGGGGTGAGGTCCATAGTAGACAGTCCAAGGTTAAAGTTTTTGGGGTTTGGGGAAGAATCCACAGAGTCAGGTAGAGGGTTCCAGACATTGACCGCTCTGTTATTGCTGAAGTCGTATTTCCTACAATCAAGTTTGGTGCGGTTAACCTTGAGTTTGTATCTATTGTGTGCTCTTGCGTTGTTATGGTTGAAGCTGAAGTATTCATTGACAGGTAGGACATTGCAATATATGATTTTATATACCATACTTGGATCAGATCGAAGACGGCGTAATTCAAGGTTTTCTAGGTCTAGAATTTCGAGTCTGGTGGCATAAGGTCTTCTGCAACGAGTAGAGGAGTGGAGAACCCTTCTTGTGAAATATTTCTGGACTCTCTCAACTGTGTTGATATCAGATGCGTAATGCGGGTTGTCTCTGGTTGTCGTCTCTTCCCAGCCCTCCTTCCTCTGCCTGCTTCCAGGCCGCCCTGCCCTTCGGAGCTTTGTGCCAACGGTGGGAGCTGCCATCCAACTCCGTCCGGACCGCAGTGTGTCTGTCCACCCGGGTGGCGTGGGAAGGCGTGCCAGGATGGTATGTGGTTCCCAGCACGTGGTAGGGTAGCTTTCTGGAGGCGGATCAGACAGCTGGAGGGGAAACGAAGTGCGATTTCAGCTTTAGGTTCCAATTTTACAAGTACAAATTCATACGTTCCCATCTAGGAAGGAGAGTCTGCAAGGTAATGTGTTGTGATATATAAGAATAAGTACTGAAAGTAGACAAGATTGTAACCGATATTGTTTTTTCTTTTCTTCTTCCTTTCTCTTTTGCATGAAAGGATTATCGCTGCACTAGATGTGGAATTCAGTGAAATAAATACGGAAATGGGAATTCATCATAAGAATATTATATATCAGTTGATGATTAGCGATGTGAAAAAATATGAGAATTACTATGGAAAGATTAATATCAGTTGTTATAATGAATTGATTAGATTAATACATTTGTAAAGCAGAGATGATAAGTATGGTGATTGAGAAAACATTGTGCGGAATCTGATGCAGGATAAATATACACCTGATACGTAGTCATTATTAAGTAGAATGAAGGTGGTAAGCTCGAATTAAGAACCAAAGGGGACAATTTCTAGAATTAATAGCATAAGGATTGATAAAATTGCAAATATGAAAGATAAAGGCAATATGGGATATGAATATAGCAATGGAACAAGAATTTTAAATAATGCTGTAAAAAAAAAAATCCCTTAAGAAACTTTTAAGACGGGTGGACTTCAACTCCCAGAATTCCATCGTTGAACTGAATTGAAGTCCATCCATCTTAAAGCAAACCTGGCTGGGGGATTCTGGGAGATATTTTTGTGATTAACTTATTCTTTTTTTAAAAAAATATATATATTCTTGATTATGGCAACTGGGAAGAGATTTTTTTTAAAGCAAAACCATGGGTTTCAGGGCTTTGCCAGCTGCGAGCTTCCTCATCCAGGAGCAGTGTACCTGTGAATGCTAACGACCAAGGGAAGAGGAAGCGGGGGGAGGCAGGAAAAAGCCGGGTGGATCTAAAGGCTCACCAGAGAGCTCTCTCTGCTTCTGTTCTTCCTTCCAGATGTGAACGAATGCCACAGAAAGCCGTGTCTTCACGCTCGGGCGTGTAAAAACCTTGCGGGGAGCTATTTTTGCGACTGCTTGCCAGGCTGGATGGGTGCAACCTGCAGCATCAGTAAGGGATCAATTCTGGGATCGCAGGAAGGGAAAACTAAACACATCCGCACAGATGCACAAGAGTTCTTTGTGTCATTCAGAAAAAACTGGACCTCCAAGGCCAGTGTACCACTGTATTACATTTCCCAGCACCCTTCACAACTGGTTGTGAAGCTGGGAACTGGGGCAGCTGGGAACTGTAGTTTGCTGTGGATTCCCTGTCCTTGGTGATCACCTTAAGCAAAGTTTCTTTAACCTTGGCCACTTGAAGATGGGTGGACTTCAATTCCCAGAATTCCCCAGTTAATAAGCTTTAAGGTAGAAGGACTTCAACTCCCAGAATTCTCCAGCTAAGACGCTTTAAGGTAGAT